CTTTTGTCCGAGAAAGGGGTGGGTATACCCACTTTTGTCCATTTCCCTTTTTTTTCGGCGTTTCACGATTTTTTGTTGGCAAATTGTTGTTGTTGTTTGTTGCTTTTCTTTTCATTTCACCCGTGTCAGTTGCTAATCCCAAAATCTAGCAAAGACTCGGTCCGTGGTCACAAAAATGCTAGAGCCATCAGATGATCTAAAGAACACACACACTATTAGCAATAAATGGGTACGCAAGCCCGAGGAGGTACACCTGCAGTCCCTGCAGCACGTTTGCATGCTCACAACTGAACTACACGCCCACACACTACAAATCGACTACAGCAGCAGCATCACCCCCCTTGTCCCGCATTTAACCAAAATGAATGTTTGTCGACTACAGCGTACTGCTGTCTGAAGTGCTGTCTGTACAATAACAACAACACCATGGTGCATGCTACACAAGCTCGGGGCATGCAGCTGCTGCCTGAAGTGCTGTCAAAATGAGTCCGTAGACATACAATGAAGCAGAACACCCAACCAAAGCCATCATTGCAATTGAAAATCACCCGAATCTATCCAGATCATCTGTGTTAGGCACAGCAGTGTAAACATCGACACTGACTAGGAATCGTTCCACATTGAAGGGGTCTTCCACGATGCAGGTACACAATTACAAGCACCCGGGATATCCGCGCCATCTGCCGCGTCTCTCTACAAAACAACCAGTGACGTCATCACACACTTCCCCCCCTCGGCCTGCTCCCCGGCCGGGGCCGAAATCGACTTAGTGAGTCCCTCGCGGGCGAACCAGGCCACAACAGATAGTAGGCGGGTGGTGTCCCAAGGTGCAACTCACCGCCGCGCTGGCTCAGCGTGGCAGTGAGGAAGCACAGACGGTGGCAGTGGCGAGAGGTGTGTATGGACACTGTTCCCGCGGCAGTAATGCAAAGCGGCAAACTGCACCTGGCAACCACCGTCGCGGGGCCCACGAAGCTGGAGGAGTAGAGAGATTCGTAGACACCACGTCAGTAAGCATCACTCGAGGGAGAAGGGAGAACCGCGGGCACCGCGGGTAGGGAGTGCTGCACCCTCCTCGTCAAAACACCACAGGCAAGAACCGAGCTCTGCAGAGATGGATTGATGCGAGGAAATTCGCCGCTCGGAAAATACGGAAGAAAGCACACCCGCAACGCGAGGTGGACCGAGAGAGACACGAGACCGCAGCGGCCGTCAAGGCGGCTGCGAAGAAGAAGGCACGAGAGGGCGACCTATCGTTCGGCACGTTCAACGTACGCACGCTCGCCTACAGCGGTAGGAACCCCATCGGTCACAACGTGATGACGGTCATGCAGATTTGTTCCGCGACCGGCTGTGATGTGATAGGACTTCAGGAGACCCGACGAGAGGGGCAAGGTTCAATTGCACACGACGGGTACGTGATCATCTGGAGTGGCGCCCGTGCTGGCACCAAGGACAAGAGGGGCGTACACGGTGTGGGCATAGCGATCAAGGAGACCATGTGGGAGAGTGTGGGCGAGGAAGGTAGGAAGGTGGAGTGCATTGGTCCGAGGCTGATGAAGGTGCGTTTACGAATTGGCCGCACCTGCGGAATAACTTTCGTGGTGAGGTACGCCCCCACGGAAACTGTCCGCACCACCGCGGGCGGTGATATTAACGCCAAGGACTCCTTCTGGACTGCTCTCGACGCAGTGATCCGGGAGGTTCACAGCCATGACCATCTCGTGGTGCTAATGGACGCCAACGCACGCACTGGTAGGAGGCGAGACGGGTGCTGCGATGCCAAGATTATGGGCGTGTACGGACGCGACATTATGAACAACAACGGGGAACGACTCCTTGGACTGGCATCAAACAATCAACTCTCCCTGACCAATACCTACTTCCGAACACCGTAAGGTGGAGTGCAGCACACATTCCAGAGCTCCAACAAGGGGAAGGAGAAGTACC